ACGACAACACACAAGCGCAGCACACAACCCCAACACACAACCAGAACACACAAGCACAACACACATGCACAACACACAAGCACAGCAGCACACAAGCACAGCACACAACCACGACAGAACTACAACACACAACCACAACACGCAACCACGAACACAACACAAACACACGACGAAACAACACACACACAACCACACAACTCGCAACCACAAACACAACACAACTACAAACGCAACACAGTACAACAATAAAATTACCTGTGTGCATGTGGCATTTTGCGCGGCAGTTGGTGACAGGGTCGCACTCTGGAGATCCTGGCGACACCCCGATGCAAACTCCCCAACACTGAAACAACAACCCTAAACCCGACGACCCGAAAGCAAAATCGAGAACCACAAAACCCCTGACCATGGCAATATGCCCTTCACCATGGCATGAAAACAAATGATTGAAATGTCATGGTGGGGATCACTTGAATTAAAGGTGTCTTTTTTGCACGAAAACTAGATATGTGGAAACAGAAGACATCTAGGACTAGGATATACCCGCACCCAAAGTTAAGCATGGAGTGCGCGAAAGACTCGCCAAAGTCAAGATTTGCTTCGCAAAGCAAGGCGTTTTCGTAAAAAGGATTCTAGATCAACCACCAATTGGTCCTGCCGGGCGGATGCTGGCGGTTTCAATATTGTGAGAAACTTTCCGGCAGGTGGAATGGAGCTCCAAAATAGGTTGCTGTGTGCCAAGAAGAGTTGCTCCTCAACTTTTGCCTCAAGTCCACCCTGAAGTTCCTGTGTATATTGAGTATATTGGTGTTCCCCTTAACCTCCATAGACGCTCCAGGAATGCTGGCGTGAAGAGTAAGATGCCAACGGCGGGAAGCCGTTGGCGCTTTGAACAGCTCTTGGTCGTTGATGGAAAGGCTGACCTGGAGATAGTGGCTTAGCTTCACCTGGTCATGTTTTGGCTTCACCTGGACATGACTCTAGCTTGTGCAAAGGCTTGAAGACATGAAGAGTAAGATGGGGCCAAAGATGACCTGTGCAAACCGACTCTGTTTGTATTATGACGCTTCTTGTTTGGTCTGGAGAATGGTCCCTTGTTCAAAAATTCATCATTGGCCGGTCATGTTTTTCTTGCCTTGCGGGGTGAAGGGTCGTGAGCCAACAATCGCTGCAGAAGTCTTTGTAGACCTACATCTAGGTGGAACTGCAACATCGTAATTCACTGCCCCTTGTAAACGTGTAACAACATGTTTGACTACAGTTCGGCTGGTTGAGGCCTACCAGCAGCCGCGTGAAGTTCCGGTCAGCTGGCAGAAGTACTTTGGAAAGCTCTGGGAACATGTCCTGTGAGAGACATCGGTCGGATCTCCAGGATGTGCCAGTCGCAATTTTTGGGACGGACGGCGCTTTTGAACCGTCCATGGTCCAAACATGGATTCCAAATTTGGAAAGGACATCAGCTTTGTAAAGATGTCGTCTCCTCACTGTACAGACTTATTGGCTTCCAAAGCACCTGCCCATGCCGTTGGGCTTCCAAAAACGGCTCCCTTGCCAGTTGGAAAAGATGATGTGGTCTGCTGCGGGATCGCGCATTCCTCCATCCACTCCGTGCGGACAATTCGCTCTGTGTGGGTTGATGCTTTGTGTGTTTGACAGCATGGCGACGCCAATTTGCAGATTCTACTCCAAGATAACAAGAAAACATGGACTTTTCCTCACCCACTCATTCTCAAAATGTGTGAATGAAGTCTGATGGCCATGGATGGCTGAGTCCTTGCGAATGCTCGGCCCAATTGCCACAACCAAGGGCTAACTTTCCAAGAATGTTGTTTTGCGTTGGCATCAGCTCAGCAAGGTACTCAGTGTCATTTAGCAGATCAAACTGAAGCATGAGGGTCATAAAGTAGACTTGAGTAGACCATAGATGTCAAGAAACTGATCTGCAAGGCAAGGGTTCAAGGGCAGTGAAGATGCTCCAAAAGGGTCTTGAAAGCAGGCCCAACTTCTGTTTGAAGCGTAAAACATGTCTTGTATTGTCTTGTAACTTAGTGATCTTATAGTTTAAGAATGAGCTGGAAATGCTCGCTTAGGAAACAGGTGTTGATTTTCAAGCCCCAAGACATACCAAGAAAGCATTGTGGTTCAATGCTACTCACCTGCATCCGGTATCCACCACGACTCCCAACCAGACGTCCGGGGTGCAACCCATTGTCCTCGATTTTCCGGTAAGAACCGTTTTTTGCACACTCGCTCACCGTGACCCGCTGCCTGACATCCTCTGGTTGGCGTTTGCGCCCAGCATTATTCTATGGGTCACCGAGACCATCGCTCCTACGTAGGTTGGAGGCCATCGCTATGGATCACTGAGGTGCGACCTTAGCACCCTTCAATCTTCGTATGCCGCGTGATGCTGGAGGAGCGGCCAGCTGCAGCATGCTGCGCCAGCCAAGCATTCCTCTCTCAAATCACCTTTGCACGGCGTGTGGCTGCTTGTGTGGATGAGGTGGGGGATGACATGTTGGAGTCATCAAGTATTCTCAATCTCACTTCATGGTTGGTGAACAGCCATTCTTTTCCAGCCCCCAGAACTACTTGCATAAGGTCACTCGGAGCGGAAACGCACCTGCTTCCTGCTCGATCAGTACGTCCGGGTTCCGGCGGTTTGACCCGATACTTCCACTGCAGACTGGAGAGCCTGAAAGAAGCGAACCGGATGAAATCCCTGCCAGTTTGCTAGTGAAGCCTTGATGAAATCCGAACCGGAGACTGCATTTTCGCATGGTTTTTTGGAGGGGTTCATGAGACAACGCCTGGCTGGCTGGGCTTGTCTGGCTCCAGTTTTCGAGACTGCATCAGTGACTGGTACAGAGAAATACTGAAATACCATGACATACTTAAAAGATCTTTAAAAAAACATGCAAGAACTACATGACATTCCTTGCTTACAATCTAGCTTCGATCGCAGAGATCAAGGAGATGGTGACCTTTCATGAACTTTCCACTTTTCGCGAGTGGGGAGATATTTGGAGATGCAGTTTTTCGATCTCGTTCGTTTCAACCTACCCAGCAAGTGATCTTTGGTGTCACGACCTTCTCTTTCCCAGTCACTGAGGGTGCAGGGAGGTGTCCCCGTGAGGTCTCCACAGCAAGGATCCACAAAATCGACTCCAGCTTCCCCAACTCAGTCCTACAACTCTTCCCCTACTGATCAAATTGATGGAAGTCCAAGCTACACCAAAATTTCTTCGCTGGGCCACCCCAGGTCTGAACCGCTGTGCGCAGCGGATCAACTGATAAAACGCCAATGGTGGAGGCGTGCAGGGAAAGTCGGACGAGAATTGAGTCTAGAGTCTGAAACTAAGGATGCAAAGGCAACTATGAACGAAGAAACATACAGTATGTATACCAAGAAACTGTATTCAACAACTTTAAACTCGGATCAGTGGGGATTTAGATCAGTAAGAAAGCTCAACATCTACAGTAGATTTGGTGATATAACTTGTAAATATACTACAGTAATTACGAAAGCCAGCCAAGAGGCTAGGCTGAAGTGCTAGATGGGTGAACGAAGTGAGTATAGGGTGCGTGGAGGGGGTCGTGTGGAGGGTCCTGTAGACCCAGAGCTTGCAGGGGGAGAGCGAGCAAAAGATGGTGTCCAAAATGCATCTCTATAAGTTATAAGTGCCTTGGTGATGCGAGTGATGCCAAGAGGTGCAACACTGTATTTTTTGCATCACCAGGTGGCAATGTTGGGCTCAGCAAAGGACATGTTTCTGTATTGCTCAGCTGTAAAGATGAGCAAGCATGTTTCGTTCTAGCAGCAGTGTAGAACACCATCTAGGGTGGGCCAAGACGCACCGTGACCTGTCAGAAGTTTTAGGGAAATCAGGGCACCGGCAAGGGAGTGCTTTTTTGTAGGATCTAGCAGCTGTAAAAAAAATACGTTGAAAGACTGTGTTTGTTCTGCTGTAAAGACAATCTACCTTGGCAAGCCTAGGCCTAGTACACAGAAAAAACCGCATGGACGGCATTCCTGCAAGCCGGCGCGTTTCGTGCTTGCAGCGGAGAAGTTATGCGTAGAGCACTATGTAAGAAGGGCCGCAAGGACGAAGGCAATTTATGGGAAGGTTCTTTTTGATCGTTTTACCGGAAGAGGGAAGGGCACCATCAAAGAATGGACCTTAAGGAACCGTTTTGTTCCTGCCCTTTTCGGCTTTGTTTGGCAGCCGCCTGCAAAAGAGTGTGCCTCCGAAAAGCGGGTTCTAGCAAAAGGGCATTGGCCAAAGCAGAACGCGGCAGATGCATCTTCGAGCATGCGGCACGAATCTTGCGAATGAAGAGGGTCTTATCCGCGTTGCTCTGAGTGTCTACAAGGGCTGGCTTTCGCCTCCTTCCTTCTCAGATAGGTGTATATTTATATATATATTATTCTTCGTGTATTAACAAAAACACATATATAATCATCATAAATAAATATATATATATATATAAGAGGGCGTGTGTGTCTGTCATGGCACCACTTGTGTGCGCTAGCCGCGGCTGTCCGTCCTTCCGCCTCTGGAGGTCGACCAAAGCGCGTGGCGACCGCCGCGACTGGGGAATTCGGGCATTTCGGGAGATCAGCGAGCGCTCCAAAAAAGAGCACATCGCTGTGGGTGGTTTTGGGGGAAGTGCTTTGCATCAAACATGCTGTGAATGCTGGAAACTCGGGGGGGGTCTAGATTGTTTTGGATTTTTGTTTTTTGGGAAGCGGAGAGCGTCCAAGCACCAACCCCCCGGACACTCAGCAAAATGTGAGGGGTCAGGATTATCACCAAGTTCCTCCGTATTTTGAGGATAAATTACATATGACAATGGCCTGACAAAAAGGTGCAACACGCACTTTTGCCGGAAATAACAAATATTATATAGCGGGGTATTGACGATCTCAAAGAACCAGTGGTAAAAGAGATCCCAGACTCACTGGGTCAGCCGGGGTGTATGGCATCGCATCGCCCCAGGTGTAAGGTCCCGTGGCCCAGATCTGGAGTCCGAGGCCGACCAACGCCGCAGACCAAACGGGCCTTTTCCACTACGTTTAATGGTGATCCAATCAAATCTGACCCCGGGAATTTCCACTACATTCAATGCGTGGTTTGAACATGTTTTGAATGATCTTCGATAGGGACCCGGGGATGGTAGGCAGTAGGCATGGGGTTTGAGTTTGATGTGTCTTTGAGCTAGATGCGACCTCGCACCTACGGGGACTTGGTAGGGCACGGGAACTCATTTCTGGCAGATCGTTGTTTTCGATCCAAAGTGACAGAGAACTCAGAGCTGATTTTTTCCCAACGGAGTTCCCTCGACCTGCAACCCACTCACTTTTCAGCCTGACAGATTCTGCCAGGAGCATTTCCGACCATTTGTACATACTGTGCCTTGAGGTGGGCGTGTGTTTCCTTTTCTAGATAGGGGGGGTAGGCTGCTAGAAAAGATAAGAAGAGGTAGCTAGTAGAAGAGTAGCTACTAGGCTACTAGTAAGCTACTACCTAGGACGCAGGATAGCTCAGGCTTGCTTGAAGAAGCGCTCGCACTATTCATTTGGTTCCTAGGATTTTTTTGGAAACTTCAGTTGTTTTTTCAGAAAGGAGAAAAGCGAGTGTTTTCACCTCGCCGGGGGTAGGTGGGGTGGGCCGAGGATCCAGGATCTCCAGTGCGAGCCCCGTGCGACCGCCCTCCACGTATCAGAGTCACTGAGTCACTCGATACGGTACATCAGTTGGACCCTTGTCGATGTCCCTACACCAAGCTCCATCAAGATGTTTGTCAAGAGGAAATCACTAAATCATACCACGAAAATCTATCAATCTTCAGTACGTATTGGCCTTTCCTTGTGGGAATGTCTTCCGACATCAAGGTCACGGGTCTTCTTCATGCCAGGCACTGATCGACTGCCTGTATGATGGGTGCCACTGAGATTCGCAGGTCAGATGCTTCGCCTGATCAAAGTATTTTGCACAAACAAGCCAACAAGCCGTTGCTTCTAAGCCTTAGATCGAAGGCCTCGTTCTTACATGTTTCTACGTTCCCCCTAGGATTTTACGGGACAATCCATCATCCACAGCAGCTGTGGAGCAACCAACTCAAGGACCAAGAGGCCAAGAGAACCATACAGAACGAGTAGGCTTTAAGAAGTTCCATTTGGCAAAACTCTCAGTAGGCGGGCTTCCAAGCTACACCAACTATAGTTGAAGTGAACACCTTGGAGTTCATGGATCGTTCTTCTGACAGGGGGCATTTGTATACTTTCTTACTTTCCTTAAAACCAAACAAGCTTTTTGCTTTGAAACATCGTTTGGCCAGTGACCTCAGTGAACGGTGTCGTCAGACGAAAGGAGGCTTGGATCAACGGAAGAGCTCCGCAGCTCAGTGGAAAGGTGGAGATTGATTTTAGTCAAGCCAATTTTGGTTGAACTGCTATCGTTAAGAGAGGACAATTATTTGAACGCTGAGACATTGGAGCAAGTCTGGTACAAAGTTGATACAATTCTATCATGTTCAACGACAAGTGACGACAGTCAGCCGAGCAAGTCTGCGAGCCCGTCAAATCGATCCAGATTTTGCGCCTCGAAGCCGACAGAGATAGGTGATCGGTTGGGTTCACGTACCGTCACCTGATCAGCAGGTAGGTAGGAGATGGTAGGAGATAGGAGACATGCAGGCTTTTGAGGACCTGCATATAGTGCAGCCCGGCAAGAAGCATGTGTGAAAGATATGCTACAGTGGATGGGCTTCATTTGACCTAGTTTGAAACACAATTGCACTCGAAAGAAGGAAGAATCGAAGATGCTGGGCTCAGTGAAATCCCAAGAGTTCCTAGGACAGGAACATGAGGCAATCACTGGGATTGCCAAAAGCTATCCTGGTGAATCCAAAGCTCCACGGCAGAGCCCCGACGGGTGAGAATCAGATCGAACCACAGAACTACGGACCTGCCAGGCGGGACCTGCCAGACGCCAGAGGCACAGCCGAAAAGAAGCTCGCTGGCTTTGGTCGACAGGAGTGATTTTTTCCTGAACTTGTGGAATACTCTGTGGTCAGGAGGAAATCAACTCACTCTTCTGCCTCCTGTGATCTCAAAGAAAACATGTGGCATGAAGTTTGCATCATCTCATTGGGACAGGAGTTGCAACTGGTGAATTTCATTGATTCAGGACAGTAAAGGATTAGGGGAGGCAGGTATGGACATAAACGTACATCGCTAGCTGCTAGCCATGCTCAAAGAAGCTTCTCCAAGAGCTCTTCGCCCGCCACAGCTGGGAGAGTGTGAACTCCGCAACGGGGTCGAAAACACGGCGTCGGTGAACTCGGCGCCTGAGATCAACTTCAGTTTCTCCAAGCACTTTAGAACCACGATGTTGCTGCTTTTCTATTTTCTGTGAATTGTTGCTGTTTTGTTGGTCCCAGCATGGAGCCGGTGTACTTCTTGGAATCCTTGCCTTAGACTCCAAGTTCTCACCAACACGGTGATGGACATACCTCTCCTGTGGTCGACAGCTTTTTTGACCCAAAGGACACTTTTCTTCAACCACGTTCAGTTGACAGGTGAGGGCAAGGCAGTTCTGTAATGCTGTCCGACCAGAGTGCAGATGGCCTGTAAACAGACAACCTGGACATACCGGACTAGACTTTGGCGCCACTCTTCGCAGTCCAGATTTCATGATCTACCCTCTGTCAAGCAATGGTCCAATGGTGTCTTGAAGTCATTTTCCTCCACAGACTTCAAATTGAGTGTGTTTGTTTCAGGGAGGGTCGATGGACCAACTGAAACTCTGTGTTCTCCCTGCTTTTTGCCCGACTGGCGAAGGTCGTCAACGTAGCCGATTCAATTTCTCGCACACTGACTCCGGTGAGTCGGCAAAAATCTTGCCTGTCTCATCGCACCGCACCCGAGTCTCATTTGTACATTGGTGCTGACCCCTGTTGAGTCCCGAAACGCTGATTCGAAAGGCTTTGAAACATGCATTGAAGACTTGAAGAGTCCAAAATAAATTAGTACTTTTTCATTGTGCTCCATCTCCAAACAATTTTGGCCATGACGTTTCTTGACGCGACCACCGGGCAGCAAGGATCCGAGCCTCCGTTGCCTCAGATGGCGACGAAGCGGAATTTTGTGAAAAGGCATTGCGATGCTTTTCAATGCGGTTGCGCTATATCTTTTATCGGAAAATGCGACAGATGCCATGACATTGGATCGAATAAATAAATATATATATATATATAATATTAATAATATTATTAATAATAATATTATTAATAAGAATATTATTAATAATTATTCAAAAAAATATATAATTATATACAATATATTAAATTCATAATAGCAAAAAAAAGATAATATTTATATGTTAATATTTATATTGGAAAATATAGTAATTATTTTTGAGAAATATTTATTGATATATGATTATTTATGGAATATTGATGGATTTAGTATTTTTCGAATATTATACAAATTTAAATATAATATGGATTAGGTTATGTTATAATGCCCGTTTTAGGTTATCTTTGATTTTATTAAGATATTTTAGTAGTTTTTTTAAAATATTACGATTAGGTTGGACGGAAGATATTGATTGGTTAATTTAATGATTATTCTATTATTATATATAATGATTGAAATAATATTTCGATTGTATTATTAAAGAATTAATTGTTTGGTTTTATTGATAGAATTTATTATATATTCGTATTTTGGATTATAATTGATTATGATGTGATATTTTATTTTTAGAAATTATTGATGATATTTTAATGATTTTTGATACGAAATCTATTTTAGGTCGATTAATTTAGGATTTATGATTTTCGTATCTTCGTTTTTTTTTATTTTTTGGTTTGAAATATACCTTCAATATGATATATAGACATATTATCGATTCGCTACATATTGTTTTTGAATCATTGGACTTGGAATTTAGATGAAATTTAATTGATTAAATTTGAATTTATTAACCTCCATATTATATCGTGGATACAATATGACTGTTTGCACATTTTGATTTATGAATCATTTTTAATATGTCCTGGCCTAAGATTGATTTCTTTTGCGTGAATCGAAATGGAATATATAAATATAGAAAATCAATTTTTTTCCGATCTGATGGAAATTTGTGGTATTCATTTCGGCAAACGAACCAGGACGGACACCGAGGAACGCTCATCCGAGCCTCGTCATACCCGCAAGGGACAGAGGAAGCCTTCGCATTTATTGGATTCGGACTGGGAAGAAGGTGGCAATTTGGGGACCACGCTAGCCAAATTCATTGAAGCAAGAGGATCAGCTGAATCAGCTGAATCTCGACCGCACCTTCATCTTCTTTATTCAGGCCGGAAAAGGCTCCATTCTTCCATAGATGTTGTAGGTATCTAAGGAATGATATGCCCGGAAAGATCAAGGTACAATCACGATATCGTTCGGATAATTCATGTTGAAGACGGTGTTCGAGGAGGTGGCAGGTCGGGCAACGAAATTGCCTTTCGATTCAAATGACCACGAATTGATTCAGGCCTTGCAACCGAAACAAATCTTGACATCCACCAATGCTTGGAATTACATGCAATGGGATTCTTATGCCTCCAACCGAGACCCGATTTCTTCGGAAGAAATTTTAACCTTGATATAGAAGATCCACAAGTTGGCAGATCAGCCCGAACTCATTCATCGGCTTCGGCGCTCAAACCCATGCCATAGGACCAGATCTCCAAGGATGCAATAGTGGTGATTCCGTGGCAGCTGGACCTGTCTCTTCGAGGACCGGTTGCGCAGGAGCTTCATGATTCGTTGGTGCAACTCACAGGGGGGCGAATTAACACAACTGATCTTGGTTCGCATTCGTCCTTCGAACCTTCAACGGTCTCCGTTGGCCCGGGCTACTGCCTCGCGCCTGAAGCGATGAGATCTGCACTGTTGATCCTGGTTCTGGGTAGTGAGGGCAATGAATACTACCTCAATTCCGTTTCGATGGCTGAGCTTTGGGCTTGTTGCATGAATGCCAAATTTGATTGGGAGGATCTTGGAGCTTGGAAGCAACCTTTGCTGAATTTGCTTAGCCAGGGGTCGACTATGCAGTGGCTCACCGAGCCCACATGTCTTGGCCACCTTTTGGAACTATTGCTTTTTCTTATGGTGTGGGGATCAGCATGATGCCGCCGAATTTGGGGGTTGGATCCGTCATGCTTTGCATCATAGATCCTGGGATCTTGTTAGTCAGCCACCACGTTGGGAGGCAAGGTTTGAGGAAACGATTGAAGATTTCGGATTCGTCTATGCACCAGTATTTTTATGTCGAGAAAAGATGGGTGAGTGCACGTTGCAGGACCTTGTAAATCTCTGGCATGATTAGGATCCTTTTCACTATGGGTTTGATGTCTCGATAACGACCGTTTGCTTGCAAATGAACAGATTTCCAACTCGGGGTGAACGCTCCAAACAACCCATTCGTTGGAATCGCATTCCCATCCAATTGCCGTTCTTCATTCGCTCCATCGGATGGACCGTTCGATGGAACAATTTTGATGTAATCTCGGTAATCTTGCACCGAGGCGAAGAGCCACACTATGGACATTAACAATCCTGCCTTCGCACAGGAGGGTCTCGATACGACATTGAAGATGGCATTCATCTTATGCCTTGTCCACATGTGTCTGACATGGACGGAGAGGTGTATTTGGTTTGGCTTGTGGCTCAGGAGCACCTCACAGCTGCCTGGAGCCGGCTTATCGAATCAATCTCCAATCCTTTTGTTCCGCTTATTGCAATTGGATCATCAATTTGTCGTTTTCCTACTACGCCGCCTGGGCGCTAGATGTACCTGATGCAGCCGACCGATAAAGTTGTAGCCCAATACGGACGGAGAGCTCTCCGCTGGAAGTTAAAAATGAATAAAATATTAGGATAGATATAAATCTATATATATTATATTTATATAAAATAATACGATATTTTAATATATTCAATATAATA